AGCTCTGCCCTAATAATGCTCTTTGAGTTCAAATCCCAAGCTTCCACAGCTTTGTGCAACCAATTTAATTAGAAAAGAGAACACATTATAAAGTAGCAAATGGTTTAGAAGGGCAGAAACCCTTCTCCAATCTGGAATGCTAAATACTCTAAGAAGATTCACTCATGAAAGCCTAAGCTATGGCTTTCAGTCCTGGTTATCTTTCTATATTTTAATAAATCTATCAATTTTTATTAATATTGCAAACCAATAATAAAAAACCTGGAAACCATAAGAAATTTTAGATTTTTGTTTCTGCTTTATCTCCACAAACCTCCCCTGTACACGTCTGTATATCTTAGTTGCATGTCCTTCTAGTTGTGGGATGTGGGACGCCACCTCAGCGTGGCCTGATGAGCAGTGCCATGTCCGCGCCCAGGATCCCAACCCTTGGCCGCCGCAGCAGAGCGTGCGAACTTAACCACTCGGCCACTGAGCCGGCCCCGAAATTTTAGATTTTAATGTAATATAAAATTTTGTGTGAGTTGGTGCTACTTCTTTATATATTTTTAATGGCATTCTCCTCCTCTGAGCTGATAATGGTAATGTTTGCCTTGGCATACAGTACAGAAGGCCTCATAGTCCTCCATCCAAGTAAAAGTGGGGAGAATGCACCCCCTGCTGGGGCAGATCATGTGGATGCCTTGGCTAACTTGCCCTTTGCCAAATCAGAGTCAAGTTTCATTTCAGCAATAGGAACAAGGCATTTCAAGTACCTAGTTAGGAACACAGTAATGATTCCACGCTAATACTGCTCCCCACGTTCTAATATGTTCTCTAGAAATATTACAGAGTAAAGATTTTAGATTATTTGCTTTCCCCCGTGGAGAGTAGAAAGAGCACGGAGAGCAGTCACTTCAGCACATTTGCCCTTTGACAATGGGTCTAGATATGCCGCTCCTGATTTAGTCTCACTCTTTCTTCTTTTCACCCTTTCTGAGTTTATCATTTTAAAGATTTCCATGGTTTTTTGCCTGAAATTTGACCAGAAAACATTTTTAAATAAGAAATTTCAAGTTAAAATTGCAAATTAAGTTGACTTGTACCATTCTACACTGGCCACCATAAAAATCAATACCACATTTGAATACATGTAGGAAGGTCAAAAATAAAGTCAATTACAATTCAGAGTGCAAAACATTGGGTGATTGGCATGCTTCCTGGTGTGTTAATTTTATACCATGACCATACATCCTAATATATAAATGTGCATTCAAGGAATCAATAGACTTGAACTGGTGCTCAGTAACAATGATGTCCATTATCTTGGTATTTGAGGTCATCTATTGGTCAGTTGCTGTCTCCTTTAATCAAGAAGTACCACATTCTTTGATGTGATAGAGACCGACCTTGCAGGCTCTACGAGGAGGGAAAAGTTAAAGGAACATGCCAGGCTTATCGTTTTGCTCTTGTTCCTAGGGCACAGAGCATTACTGAAAAATGCCAGGAAATCATTTTGGTTATTTATGCAAGCTTACTTTCTGTTACCCAACCAAATCAGAATAATTCACCAATTGTGTGAGTCTTTATGCTCAGTTTCTAGTCTCTCTGAATCTCAAAGGTTGCTGCATAAAAATAACTAATCTTTCTCTCTAGTTAAGGATTAAATTACGGAAAAGAGAAAAACAAATCAAGCACATTCTAGTCTCAGTGATATATGATACAGAAAATGCCGAAATAGACGGAAGAGCAAAGGAAGCAGCAGGGGGATGTGGTAAAAGCAACACGAATGAGCGGTAGCTGCTCTGAATTCTCCAATGTGAGTTTAGAGGTTTTCTTCATACCCTTGCTTTAATCTTCTTTCTTTCTTTTGCTCATCATTTATTTGCTGTTCACTACAATATAAAAATCACACAAAAGTATTTACTTGTATGCCCTTTATGAGAGGATTGTTACTATGGAGAGGGAAAATACAAGTCATATTAAGTAAATTAGTATACTGGCTTTTTATGCTATTGTCTACATAATGATAATTTAAGAATGCATATCCTTGAATAATCAATGTTCTTTCTGTAACCATATGTTTTTCGAGAGTGTCATTTATATGGTGTTTAGTAGCAATAACAAAAGATATATAATAATAATAGGAAAAGAAAAATGTTCGGCATTTAATTTTGATGGTAACTCAGTCCTAGTAACAATGATATAAAACTGGATAAGTATGTTTTGAAAAAGTAATACTAATCAACTCTTTGTCTTATCTATGTGTACATATAGCATACATGCAGCCATAATATCTAAAATAACAAAAAAATTATTGGCAACCAAATATAATTAAAGCCCCTAGGTTAATAACCTGAGGAGGTGACTTAAATGGAGAGACAGCATGGCAAAATGAGCAGAAGCCTGGAACCTGGAACTAACTTGCTTGAGTTTACGTTATTACCACCTGTTCCGTATGTGACTTCAGGCAATTTGCTCAGTTGCTCTTGTCCCTGTTTCCTTAAGTATCCTGGCAATAACATCAGTAAGTTCCTCATGTAATAGAGAATTAAATGAGATAACATTGAAAAAAAAAACACTTAGAATAGGACCTGGAAATAGAACTGCTTAAAAAAAAATCAGAGAGATTTAGAGGAACAACTTTGTTTGGTATATTCAAAAACATTTGAATGACTACAGATGCTTTCATCAGTAATATTGTCCTTTTTTTGGCCAGTAGCATAACTCAATGAAAACCATCAAGAGGCAGCTATTCCCTTTGGAGCACGGAGGATAGCTGAGCTCAGGACAGTCTCACCCGAGCACCAACCCATCACCCTGGCCACATTCTCTCACTTCACCTCCAGGTTTCCTTGCCACTATTTCTCATGCTAGGACACCAATATTTCATTTGTTAAGATTCTATTCAGGGTTTATTCCATAGCACCGAACTTGGACATGCTCAGTAGATGCTACTAGTGGACAAAATCTTCAGTGTTTGTTATTTACTTATTGAGGATGAGTGAGCACAAGTGTGAGAAACACTTAAAATTTTGGTAGCATGTCCTTTGGTACAGATCTCATTTTCAGAGATTTATGTAAAAAAATAAAGATGACTGTAGACAATATTTTATGAAAAGGGAGAATGTTTACTCTTAAAAACTGTTATTGGGATAAACTATTTTAACAATGTGTGATAATGGTAAGTTGCTATGAGTAAGTATATGATTTATCAGCTTCTAATTTTATTTATACAATTAGTAAATTTAAAACATTTTCAAACAATTGGGTGAAATTCTCTCTATGCAAATTGAATATGTCAAGAGCAGGTATGTGTTAAGTTTTAAAGTATTAAAATTAGATAACTTGCTCTGCAGAGAAAACTTCCAGAATAACATAGAGTTCATCTGGGTTAAGAAAGAAGTTTCTGAAAACTGAGGTGTCAATATAAGCTGGACAAATGCCTAGAAACTTGCCTGAACCCTAAGATTGGATAAAAGGAGATGCTAAAAACATATTCACCAGAACACATATGGTCAAAGTGTCCTTAATTCTTGTTTTTTAAAAAGAAAGAATAGAGAGGAATGTAGATAGGAGAAGCCAAGGGTACAGCTTTTCATCCTACATTGTCAGAGGTGATGACAACAATCTACTTTGTAATTTAATTTTAAATTTTTAAGATAAAATTAAAACTATGGTCGCCATATGTTAGGTTTGAAAGCTTTCTCTTGGAGCCATTAGCATGTTTATTTTATTTATTCCATGTAGTTCTAATATAACATAGAAATAATTTCATTTCTCCATTCGTTACAAAGTGAGCAAAACCAATTCTTTCTTTTTTGATAATTTTTGTCTAAAATATCTATACCTAAAAAGGTTGCTACAAAACGTAGTTATTGCTTAACTTAGCAAGTTTTTTCCCCAAAATAAATGCCATGGAGGAGGGACTTTCAATCAGAACATCTCATACACAATGTACAACTTGAACAATTAGTTTTTTCCTTTGGCAATAACGGAATGTTACCCTAGAAGGGTCAAGGTGGGGAGTCAGTAAGTAACAGCGAGCTAAATCTTGTCCTCATGAATTCACTTTCTGTTTGTCCATATCAATTCCAGAGTAAGGAGATTGATCTATGAGCATTTCTAAAGATAAACTTTATAATATAATACTGATCAGTATGTTAACAATAATAACAGGTAAAAATGTCATGTTTGTCATGCATTTGGTACAGTTCAATCTTTTTTCTTTTAAAGATTTTTTAAATTTTCCCTTCTTCTTCCCAAAGCTCCCCAGTACATAGTTGTATACATTTTTAATTGTGGGTCCTTCTGGTCGTGGTATGTGGGACGCCGCCTCAGCATGGCTTGATGAGCAGTGCTAGGTTCTCGCCCAGGATCCCAACCTGCGAAACCTGGGCTGCTGAAGCAGAGAGGGCGAACTCAACCACTCGGCCAAAGGCTGGCTCCTACAGTTCATTCTTTATATGTATTATTTCAGTTAATTCCTAGAATTGTCTGATTATCTATTCTTAAGATCCCCATTGTCCAGGTGAAGCTACCAAAAGCAAAGGTTTAAATAACTTGCCAAAGTTTTTACAACAAAGAAATGTTACCAACTGGAAAATAATTAAACATATACTTCATAGATCACTTACTCTGACTAAGGTAAATTAGGCAATACAGGAATATGTGAATACTGCACATCACATCTACTCTTTTCTAGACAGAACATTCTATGGATCTTACCTCTGTGTAATCATGAACATATACTAATTTCCTTGTCCAGCCTTATTTGTAGCTGAGATAAATTGCCTAGCACTGTAGAACTCAATGTATCACGTTTTAAATATTACGATGAATAAGCACAAAGAAATGGCATGAAATAAAGTTGTGCAAACTATTTTAATATGCTTGCGAATATTTTAAGAACACTATAAATTATATTTACCTTTACATATTTTGCTTATGGTTTACCTTAGAAAATTTAATTTTAAATTATTTAAACTATGTGAAATGCCAAATTGATTTGCTATGTTAATGTATACAGGTTATCGATTACTTTGCAACTTGAAAGAAACATCATGAAAATATTTTATTTTATTCAGTTTTTAGACACATTTGCATTGATCTTTCTGATGCCCACCTTGGCCAAATCTCCATTTGCATAGCTTCCGGTCACTGTCAAATATTTTTTTAAAACCCCTTTTCTAGGTATGAGAAGATTTTAACCTCACACCTAGTGTAAGGTCACATCTTTCACTCTCTCCTGGTTGCTCTGCTGCTTCTGGACCTCTGGTGTCTGGGTAGGGATGGAGAGATGACAGATAAGTGGCACAGTAAACATGGCTGGTGCTATCACAATTTCACAGCCAGAGTCCAGTGTGATGACAGGCATCCAACCGCTGGCACTCTATCCTGGGGCACATGTGTGGGGTATTCAGAGACACTTTAAGGACTTGAGGTCCCTGTTTTTCCTTAGCCTATGTGACATATTCTTTGCATGACTGATTTAAGCTGCCTCTTAGCTCCTACCTTTTGTGCAAAATTTCCACAGCTGCAACAACTTAACCTATGGGAAATTCATCCAGCCTTGCCCAGTCAGAGGCTCAGAACTGCATTTTGCCCAGCTGCGGCATTCTCCCTTACCTTGCCATTTCAGTCAGCCTGCCATCCTCAGAGCTCGCTATAAAAAACAAGACGGCACCACATTTTAACAAGGTCCGAGGATTTACTTCGTGATTGAGATTCTAGTCTCCCCTCCTCCAGGAAGTCGAAATTTCTCTCAATAGACAGATAGATGATAGATGATAGATGATGATAGATGATAGATTGATGGACATAATTGGATATGTAAAAAGCCACACATTCCTTTCCTCCATTTATCTTTCCATTTTGTCTCCCAGCCTTTAATGTATTTGATATCTAATGCCGTTTTACATCATATAAAAGAACATGAAGCTACCTTGTAGGCTTTGTAGCCTTGTAAGCTTAACAATGCATTTGTTACCAAGTTGTATTCTAAGATGTGAAGCAGAATTCTCATGCATTGAACATGTTTTCATATTCATCACTCTTCGTGGGAACTTATTTATATGAGAATTTCTACAGCAGCCATCAAAGGACCTCTTTTGACTGAACAGTACAATGTCATTACCTTTTTTTCCTCCTGGGAATAATAAGTCCAAACAAGTTAAAACTCAAAGTCATAATCTCTAGAAAGATTTCAAAAAAATCTTACTGTACCCAAGAACTACCCAATGCCACCCCACTTTGAAAAATACATTAATTCCATATTAATAGTCAACAAAAGTCAATATGGCATCTATATATGAGCAAGCAAAATAGATTGATAATCATTATTATATTCATTTAAGAAATATTTATTGGTCGCTTTCTATGTACTAGAAACAATTTTAGACAATAACGAATGAACAAGACAGGTAATTCCTTGCCCTCTTAGGGCTTACATTCTAATAAGGAATAAAGACAATAAGAAGCGAGATATATATAATGTAATACTTGGTGGCTACGTGATTTGGTGAAAAGGAAGAGCGAGGGCTACAGTAAGGGACAGTGAACAGGTAAGCCTTTCTGAGGACATTGCAGTTGATCACAGACCTGAATGAAGGGAGGGAATGAACAATAGAAGTGTTTGGAGAAAGATTGTTTCAGGCCTAGAACATGAGATTGGAAGAGCTAAGAGACTGTAGAAAGAAGCAGGGACAGGATAATCCACGGCCTTATGTGTCAGATCAGGACACTGATTTATATTCCAAATGTGCTGTGAAGCCACCGGGATCAATCAGTGCTAGAAAAGAAACCTGGCTGTGTGTTCCAGTAGAATAACGTCAGCCGTTACGATGACGCACAGTTATTCACTGAGCCCTTGTGTTGGTTAGATACTGCTTGTGCTGCTTGTTCTACTTATTCTTCACAACGATCATGTGAAATAGGGAGCTCAGATCTCATTTTACAAAGTACAAACTCAGATCCAGAAAGATTAGGCAGTTTGACAAAGTTCACACAGTTATTTAAATGAGAGTGAACTAATTCCCACTCAGATCCATGAAGTTCAAGCCCGTGTGCTGAGGGAACTACTACTATTGCTAATATTTTTGGATTCCTATGAGAACTTTAAATATTTTCCTGTTCCAGCTCATTAGTAACTTAAGACCTACACGTAAACCTGTGAGTCAAGTGAGGCTGATATTTAAACACTGCAGGTATTACTCCGAAGCTGTGCTATTTTTATAAATATCTGTGTTGATTTAGCCTTTATTAAAATTTATGAAAATGAGATCTTAATGTCATGTCTTTAGCTAGGGTACAGCTATGTTCTTGCAACACCCATGTGACAAGAATATGATTAAAATAGTTATTAAAGTATTACCCAGTATAATTTCTAGAAAATTGCAACTTCTCTGCTAGAATCTGACAGTATTTTTTATATAAATTAAAAGGACACTTTTTAGACTAGTAAATAGATATGGAACCATGTATGCTCGTTTCCTACGTACTCTATGATTGACAATTCTATCACTAATTAAAGCAGAATTTATTTTAATACAACTGCTTTATGTCACCGGACACAAACATTAAACCTCACTGATGCAGATATTGCATTTTGTGAGTTGTTCATCCAAGTTTATAAGTGGTTTATAAGGCTTTCACTGATGACATCACCTACTACCATCCCCAGAAGACTCCATTTCTTTTTTCTAATCCATTTTCCATGGATTGCTTGATCTGTTGTTTATCGTACTTTCCAGTTCTTCAACCAAAACTACATAGCATTATTTTTTAAATATAGAGAACAATATATCCTCCATGGAATAATTCATGAAAATTTTCCTAACTATACTCTTTCCATTTTTATGTCAATATGATAGAAATGTAAATGTTCTCTCAAGTCATACATTTCTATTTTCTGGCAAATTATAATTCTTTTTAAAATTTTCTTTGGTTTAGTTTTATTATTCTTCCCTAAGTAAATAATTATATGAATGCACGAGGATTTCATACAGCTTATGTCCTCTTATCTACTTTTAATATTTTGCTAAATTGTTGTATTTTAAGTCTGATTTTCTCAGCCTTTTGTAAAGTGATATCTGTGTCACCAACATAATGGTACTTGATTGATATTGATGAAAAACTCTTCTATTACACAGTATGGGTGTTTATGCTTCAAAGTACAGAGGAAAAAATACTGTAGCCATTCAACTACTCTAACTTTAGCTAAATTTTTTTGAAATATTTGATTTAAACACATATGAGCAATTATGTTCAGCTCAGTTTCACATGCTGCTAATAAAAAATGAACATATATAAACGAATTTGGAGAACATTATATTCACAACTTTCTTTCTCTTCAAATTGTGAATTTTGAATTCTGCCTTTATTTAGATAGAATAATAAGTATCATTCTTAAAAAGATGATTAAAATTATGTTATTATCTCGTTGTCTAATGTTATCATAAAGTTCTACATCCAGCAGCTTAGCATATTTCCTTCGTAATGTTACAATAAAAGTAACTATTGCACCTAATTTTATATTCCATAATAAAAAATGACACTGAAGAATCAGTTCTGTTCTAAGCTCTTAATAAAACAGGAAATGCTGAAAATTTTATCATGTTTTATTCTACACATGGAAAGAGTTGGTGCAGTTGATCATAATATTTAAGAGGAATATTAATTCAGGTTTCAATACAGTACTCCTTTCATTTATCTTTATCATTTTTAGTAGCAATAAAAATTTAATTAAAATTTTTCCACACTTTCCACCATTTTCATAAAGTTTAAATTTAATGTTGAATAAGCGTTGACATGTATTTGTCATTGTATTGTGACATACTGCAATATGAAAAACAATACAAATTTATACTATACCTTTAGTTAATGTGTACCAAATCTCTGTCTAAATTTGAAATCAGTTTTAAAGTGTGGTCTTAAGAATGATTTTAAAATACCAAACTAGAATGAATCACAGAATTTCACTCAGAAACTTGCTGATTCATAAAAGAGAAATCATTTTTAAAAGTTTCATATAATCACCCAGGTTATCCTAGGTGTTTATCTCTGTACAGTATTAGAAACAACATACACAAACACTTTATTCTTACTTTTTTAGCTTCGAAAAATGAATAAAGGAAATAATATTAAGATGACCTGGTTCAGAGTCTTTCTCACATTAAACATTCAAAACTTTTGAGAATTTGTATTGGATGGTATTGAAAACAATGCTAGAGGAATATTTCAATGGTACACTAGAGTTGGCTTGCATTGACAGCCAAGAGCTAATTATTAACATTTCTTCCCATATCTGATTCACTGACAATGTGTGGGTAGCCTGCAATAACTATGGGGTATTTACACCAAGGAAATCAGAAAACACTCTAAGTTGGTCTTTTTTGTTCCCCAGAGAACTGGATCACACAACTCTTTACCAAGAGACAACCAGTTTTCCCAAACAAACATTAGCATTTTTAAAATTTTAACAATAAAGAAGCCCTAATAATTTGATTGCATAGCAGAACCAAACATGCAAGCTAATCTTTTAAAGCGAGGTCCCAATTCATTAAGGTAATCATAATTTTCATCCTGATCAGAGACTGCTGATCCTAAGGAGCTCAGGGATCCAGCTAATGACCCTGTTCCCTCAAAAGCATAGGTCTGGAGGGAATCAAAAGGAGGGGCACAAGGATCAGTATTAGCTTCTTCGAGCTTTTCTAGAATGAATTTCCTGAATATGGCACTATCCGGGCCAACCTGCAAAGACTGCCTGTACAGGCTCCTGATCTCTGCAGCGGGGGCTTTCCGAGTCCTGCGCTCCCTCATGACGGTGCTGCTCCGCAGCTCTGCAATGTCAAAGGCTTCTGTGTCTTCTTCTCCTCCCCCTTCGTCGTCATATCTGAATATATTCTCCCCGAAATCTTCACCTTTCTCCGGAAATAGAGTCTGTTTTCTTTGTTGTTTCAGACCTAGGATCAAAAAGATAAACCCTGACAAAGAAAGCATACCAGAATATTAACACACATATAATATAATATTATATTATACATAAATAATATATTATATATTTATGTTACAATATATTATATGTAAATAATGTATTATATATTTATAATATAATGTTATATATTATATCATTTATAATAGACTTTATAATCCTTGCTTTTGTTACAAGCTCAAGACAGAAGCTTAGATTTTATGATTATAAGACAAAAATCTATATTTGCTGTTGAAAATTTACAACAGAGACTTGTGAAATGACATAAGGAAGCATAATCATCTTTCTAACTGACAATTTAGAATAGAAAAACATTATGAAAATATAGTGTACTATTTTCGATGATGATCACTTTAAAATTGTACTTTTTCTTATGTATTAAAAATAGACCAAAGTAGGATAAGGGAATATTTTCCAATCTATGGGCACTTGTCAATCTTAATATCCAATGATCCATGTTAATAGAAGTTAAGCACAATGGACCAGTTTGATATTCCCCATTGAAGCAAATTTGTGGCGTAATTATTTTCTAAGTTAATATTTATTGACTACAAAGTATGTGCTGGGCATTTTTCTAAAAGCTTTACATTTATTCATTGATTTAATTGTTATGATATCCATGTATTATTATCATTCCCTATTAAATATGGGAAAACCAAAGCACAGAGATGCTAAATCACATGCCCGGTGTCACACAGCTAGGAAACAGAAAGCTGGCATTCAAAACCAGAGAGTTGGTTCAGAACCTGTGCTCTGTGATACCATGTAATTTTGGAAATTCCAAACTATCAGGTTTTTTCGTCATAACACTGGTACATCCACAATTAATATTTATTACATAAGGTGATTTTGACATCATGTAGAAATGGAACAATTTCAGAACACTTTAAAGAAAACTATACGTGAGTGTCTGTATCAAGGATAGCTCACTCATCTCAACCACAGATCGTGCATAACTGTTCAGAATTTCATATGCAGGACTTGAAGCAAACATGAAGCAACGTTACTAATATTATCACACAGAGAAATACATTACACAATATCTTATACAAAACTGACATTTAAAAATATTCAAATAGTGCTCTTGAATTAAATAAGGTCATCATGTTTGAACTTGGGTATGACACCTGAAAACCCATCTGAGATAAATGGTTGGAATTGAAAGGTATCTAACAAGTAATTTTTCATTCTATGAATTGGAGAGAATATTCATGAGACTTTCAAAGGAAACTGCTGACTATTGGCTGCCCCATACTTCCCACCCTCTAAATGCTACTCATGCCTTTCACAGTGCGGCTGCCCCTGGTTTACTTGTAGGGTTTCTGGGCTTGGTTATGTCTGTCTGTACCCATGGGTAATTCAGCACTTGCCATCCCCCAAACACTACACTGGTTTTTTTGCTTCTTGCTTCTGATATCTTGCTATTAGTTCTAAATTCAGTTGTATGATTAAAAAATCTCTAAAAATAATTTGGAAAACTGAATTTAGGCAGAAAAGAATGGTAAAGTAGGATGATAAAAATGGAGTGCATGGCTTTTGACGCTTTGAGAAAGATGAGGAGAGCGAAGGCAAAGCAAATCCTGAAACATATGGTATTTAGTTTGAGCAGTGAGTTTGAAATTGCAGAACCAGTGGCTGATATAATTGCTTTCAATACTCAATCAAGTGTGTTGGTTTTCGATACGAAGTTATGAGGGAAGCAAGAGAAGGGTTTAGATTATATGTCCTGGTGTGGTAAAGAAAGGGAAGATTATGCTAGGTGAATCATTTGTGGTCTTGAAAGCCTGACTAAAACATTTTGGGTTCATTCGCCTCATCTATAAAATAAATATAACTTATCTGCATGTGAAAATAATAATAAATAAAATGATGGTTGTTTCACTGAGATTTCCTTTATGTTTAGCCTTTGGTTAAATAAAGCTCTCTCTTTTACATCCCTCCATCCTAACATTCACTTTCTCCCGCAGTGCTCCCAGGGTTCTAGTGAGTTGCAGTACAGGGTTGAATAGAGGTATGTTTTGGTTATGGGCTCGCGGCACATCATTTACTAGCTGCAAGACCCTTTGTAAAGCACTAAGTCTTTGAGTTTCATTTTCTTCATCTATGCAATACAGGGGATAATAGTTGCTACTTCTTGAGGTTATTTTGAGGATCAAATTGCATAATGCACATAGAGCACTTATGTTAGTCTCCTGGAGCGTGATAAGCAGTCAACAGAAGCTCACTGTTATTATTACTAAATTTTATATAACTGTATATGTTGCAATGCATATGTGTCAAAAACACATACTCATCAGAATCCAAGGATCATTGATTTTCAGTTTGGAATGCATATTCACTCTATTTTTCATTTACTCCACTTGGTTTAACAATTGTAATACATTCAGAAGAGCAGTTTAACACATGCACACACACACACACACACAAACTGACACTATATTGGTATAATGTAATTAACCATTTTCTGTATTTTTCATGCTATTTTCAGTAAAGGAAGATATGTTCAGTTCAGCACTACTTACCAAATATTATCATGATGGATATCAGAATAGCAATGATGATTTCTGTCCTGAATCCCAAGGAAAGCATAAGATCCTTATTACTGCAGGTCTGTGTACTGCCATTGTCATCACAGTCACAGATGTATATGGTAAGGGTGTTTGTACTTGTAAGTGATGGGATTCCATTGTCGGCAATTAAGATTGATATATAGAAGACAGGCTCTTCTTGAAGGCTAAAACCAGTTCTATTAGTCAAAATTACAGCTGTGTTATCTAAAACAAAAATCCATGTGCATAATTTTTTCAATAATACAAAAGAAATCCATACCAGTCATATGTACTAGAGGTAACAGTACAGAGATATAAAATGAGTTCAAATAAAAGGAAGAGGAAATTTCTGATAAAAAGACAATTAAAAACTCCACTTAAAAGTCATTATTGTTTCTGATATTTCCTAAAGCTTTATTATGTAATTAGATGGATCAGTTCCAAACGTCTTTGGATAAAGATAGGAAACATATATGTGGAACATAGAAAACAACAGTGTAGTCAGATATCAATATTATATAGAGACTCCTAGCGTTACATTTATGATAACAGTATCAGTTTCAATTGGGTTCTTTATTCACGACAGAGTCCTTTTTCTAATAGGGACTCATTATTTTCACAAAAACTGTAAATACATAAGGTTGTCAGAGTCACATACCTAATACAGCAAGTGACCTAAAATAATATACACTAATAAGAAAAAAAGGATTAATTTTACTTGATAGGAAAGATTCTACTAGGATGTTTCTTTTCACTTTGACATTATTAACCCATTTTCTATCTAAAAGTCAGAGAATCAGTAAACTTTAGTAGTATCAATTTATTCATCCAGATAGAACATTCAAAAATTAACAAAAATGAACAATATTCATACTTGAACACATTTGAAATGGTTTTTCCCTGAATCCCTGAAAAATATTCTAAATAACTACTTTCAGTGCAATTTCTTGTGGCTCAGTACTATGTTTGCCCTTTTTTTGTGTGTATTGCCATCCCCCAAAATATTTTCTGTAGCAATCAGACAAACTTTAGAAGACACGAACAGCGAAATGCAAATAAAGGGAAGTCTTTTGAAAAGTATGTCTATTTATGACTTTTCCTCAATCATCATTTTTAAATGAATTCTCCATCATGCTCTTGAAGTCTACAAAACTCTTGTGATTTTAGTTACTAGGCAGATTTAAGAGGTGAGAGAGTTTATAGTTTTTTCAGTGTATATTTTATTAAATTATTTGTAACCAGAATCATTAAACCAAATCAATTCTTTTCTCTATGTCTCAATATATTTATTTTGCCCCAGTAACTTATTTTACATTAATATAAATAAATCTAAGCTACAGTTTATTTGTCATATTGGTATTTACATTTTTCATCCTAAGTCTATTTGAGTTTTTACCAGGGAATTTGAAAAGGGCAAAAGGAGAGAACATGTCTGCATCTATTCTCCCACAAGGGACTCCTAGATGGAAGCTTACCCTCAATTGTAAAGGACAGCTGTAGGTATTTGGGTACAGATGCTGGAGTAATAAATCCTATGGTGTTTCATATCTTTGAGATATAAAGCAAAAGTAAAGTAGAAATCCATATGACGGAAAAAAACCTTTTACTGAAGTGAAGAAAAAAAGAACAGAGTGGCTTTTTACAAAGTTAATCTACTTCTATATGGAAGGAAAAGAAACTCTGTCTTTCCACACAAAGTCTTTTAGAACATTTTGTCTTTAGATTGATTCAATCACTTTGTTTTGAAGGAAAAAGAATAATCTCAACCCAAAGTCATATATTTATGGCTCCTAATTAATGACTCCAAATCAATCAAACTAACATGACTTCAAGTTGTACATATCATTTTCTTTCCCCAGAATAGCCTGAAGTTTGAGTGATATGAGGACATGAATGGAACACTTGTGCCAGAACCGCAATTATCTTTGCAGGGTCATTCAGACTTTACAAGGGCTGATAGCCACTGGTGACCTGAAAAAGTGTTTCTGATTGGAAGAAGTCCAGTGAGAAATGGGGCTAGCATATTTAGAACTTGACTTTGGGTTTTGTTTCCCATTTTCATTGCCACTCCTCATCCTATTTCTCAACATTATCATGTTGCAGGAATAGTATAAAAAGCAATGCTATAAATTCCCTTAAAATCAAAAATAAATCTCAAAAAATGTATCAAAAGCCATCGCAAGTGAATGGCATTACCTTGATTATCCATGATTGTAAAACTTGAGTTCTTTGCATCGTCTACAGACAGATTAAAGTAAAAATGGTGATCTTCTACGGATTCATCTCTATCCACAGCACTGATGGTCTGAATTACCTAGAAAACATTAAGGGCAGATTTTTTTTGTCTTTTGTGGGGTTTTGTTTGCATTCAGGAGAAAGATCACTGCTGCTAATCATTATTATTATTATCATTAGCTTTTATTAAAATTGCTTTACCAAAACCTTTATGAACATTGCAGAAATAACTGCCAAATTGGTAGAGAACATTAAAATATTTTCTCAGGTTAAAAATGTGTTTACTTGTCCCTTTTAATAGAAGGTTTTGATATTATACAATAAATACATCCTTGATGGATCAGATGATTTCTATAAGCTATGCTTGTTAGACGTTCTCAAAGCACTGCTCCCACGAATCAAGATTTCTTCCCATTCTTCCTGTCTAGATTTCTCCCTTTCTTCCTTCTTCCCTTCTCCCTTTCTCATCTGAAAACCAGCCATTATGAATTGCTCAAGTTATATATTTCCTGCTTATATTGAGAGCACAATTGTAGTAAACTTATTGTCTCAGTAAAGTATTTGCTAAAGTAATGAGTTTTTTAATTGATTTCAGGAAATAATGCAATTAAAGCTTAGGGGTAATGAATAAGATTTCCTTTGACCCATAAAGATTATAGGAAAAGTGTTCCACATCAAGTAAGTTCCTCTCTCTATCTCAGATCATAAAAAAAGTGAAGTAATGCAGTTATGAACAAATCAGTTCTCAATTTTCTTTCTTTCAAGACATGAATGTGTCAGTCAAGTAGTTCATTATTGTCAAAAAAGAGAGAGGCTGTCAAGATCACATAGTGAGATTGTGATTAATTCTGGAAATTAAAGTAAATTGATTATAGAAGTTATTGTTTTGAATTCTCTAGAATTAAAGTGCTTTTAATAATGTGTCAAACAAAAATATCTTTAGTTGCAAGATGACAGACCCAAAATTTATAATGTTATACTTCAAAGAATAGATCTCTCTCCACACGCATAAAGAGCCTTGTAAAACTAATGCAAATTGTATATTATTTCTCTACATTGATTTATCATCTTCATAACACATGCCTAATTAAATCATAACTATATAGTGTTAATTAAATAAGCTAATGAAAGAAAACATTTTTATTCAATCTATGCCTACAGTTATAAATGTGCGTCATATGAGGGTAGTGCTTTTATTTTGGATTCTCATAGATTACGTATAGCCAGGGTGCAAGGCAGGGAACTGGAAGTCTGATGGTATGAATCCTGGCTTTGCCACTTACTGTTTTCTAAGCTCGAAAAATGGAGATACTAATAGTTAACTTTTAGCATTCATTTTTAGGGTTATATATCTCTGCTTGTCAACATGTTTGTTGCACAACCAGTACATGTCTATGAGATGCTTTCTTCATGAAAACATTGTCTTGCTGGGATTTGCATAGCACAGTGTCCTGAATAGTGTGAGCAATCTCGTTATATGTATATTTGCTCAATTAGGATTGACAGAAAATTGTAAAAATTCATGTTTATCTTATTGGCATATGCAGTCTTGATTTTCAGAAATGGAATAATTTGTCTTACTATCTGACTTTCTATTTTAAACCACATGTCTCTCTTTTGTGTGTGAAGGCGTAAGAACACTGGAGAGACTCTGACTCTGTATATATTTTAAAATACTTTTAATTAATCAAACTACTCTCTACATATGTATAGGTATACTGAATATGTATAAGCTTCAACACTGCCTTCTTTTCAATGAACCTACCTCCACTTATATTTGTCTTGTAAATTGGACTTCTGTATGTTTTCCTGAGTTCCACCACTTTACAAAAATAGGAAGCCACTGATATAACAGAATGAGTCACATAGCAGGTCTCATTAATTCTACCGAACTAACCTTAAACATACACACTTTTCTTGAAGTCACAAATCTCTAAAACACGGCCAACATTAATGAACTCCACAAGTCTTCAGTGGAGATGTTCATTTTTCCTTTTAATTCAACAATGGAAAGGTTTTTGTTTTAATTTTCAAATAAAATTCTAAGAAAAATCCTTATTTGTTGCATCAGTCAGATTTCTAACCTGGTTACTTCTATCTACTTACCTGGGGCCTGTCGCTGGCCTTGTGTACATCTATGAGAGGAGCAAAGACAAATCCAACAGCAAACTGCGTACAAGAACGGCCATGTTATGACAAGTTCTGAGTGCAGCTTTTCAATTTCTCTTTGTTCTCTGGGTTGAATTTTGTTCAATTTCTTTCTGACCCAATACATGTGATTTCTTATTTATCGTACTTTGAAATCTATAATGGAAATATATTGTGCCTGCCTAGAGAACCTAAAAATAACAACCTTTCAATGGGAACTTACCTATGGACCAGGGATTGTTCTATATATTTCCACGGCTAATTCTCACAATGATCCTATGAAATAAATCCTGTTATTATTTATATTTACTTATATTAAGCTTCAAGTCAGCTAAGTATTTTTGTTGTTGTTATGTGCCGTCAAGTCAGCTCTGACTCCTGAGTGAATGAGTGCTGTCCACAATATCCTGTGCTCAACAGCCCTATTCAGCTTCGGTAGACTCATGCCTACCTCCTCCTTTATGGAGTCAATCCATCCCATATTTGGGCCTCCCTTTTTCCTGCTGCCTTCTGCTTTTCCCAGCAGAATCCTGCCTTCTCATGATGGACCCCAAGCAGGACAGCCTCAGTTTTATCATTTTCCCTTCAGTGGTAGTTCAGGCTTACTTTGCTCTAGGACCCACTTATTGGTCTTTCTGGTATCCAGGGTATCCTTAAAGATCTGCTCAAACACCATATTTCAATCCCTGTTAGCCTTCTTCACTGTCCAGCTCTTGCTCCTATACATAGTAACTGGGGATATGAAAGGGTGGATATTCTTGGTCTTAGACTCTCATGACATTTTCTCATACTTAAGATATCTTAGTATCTTAGGTAGGTAAAATGACCAGGTCAGAATTTGAATGCAAGCTCCTGCTACAGCTGGTGTGGAATGTGGCCCCAAGAACACATCATTTTCAACTTTATTGAAACAAATAAAATTATATGAAATTTAAAGTGTACATTGTGATGATTTCATATACCTGTATCTTGTGAAAGGATTTCCCCATCTAGTTAATTATCACATCCATTAACTCAAATATTTATCTTCTTTTTTTTTAGTGAGTGAGAATATTTTAGTTTTACTCTCTCAGCAAATTTCATTTATACAAAGAGTGTTATCAACTATAGTCACCATGTTATACATTAGATCCTCAGACCTTGTTCATCTTAAAACTGAAAGTTTGTACCTTTTTACCAACCTCTCCCTGTTGCCCCCTCCCTCAGCCCCTGGAACCACTTTTCTACTCCCCTAGAGCATAGCGTTCAAACCCTAGACCTGTTCTTGTCCATGCAGATGTGCATACAAAAAGCTACGGTAAAAGATGTGGCATAGAGGAAGTAAACAAAACCCAGTCTCATAAAAGACAGAAACATACAAAAAGATAAGTAATACAATTGCTGTAGAATAGTTATAGACCAAAAATATCAATTAAAAAAAAGAAGAACATGATCTGAGTTTTGATATGGGAGAAAGGAATGATTCTTTAAAGTGAGAGTAAGTAAATGAGCTAATACTTGAGTAAAAAACATGAATTAATGGAGAAAGCATGATCCAGACAAAAGAAGAGCATGTGAAAACCATGAATACAGAGAGATCATATATTAGGTAGAAATAAATGAAATTAATATTTTGTAGGTCAAATATTGGCAGTTTTGTAAATTTCAACTTAATCATTTTATGGAACTACAAATATATATTTGACCTTAAAGATATCAAGGAAAGAAATATAATCCTTTTCCCTCTATCAATTCTTTCACATTACAGCATTTTTCTAAAAAAGAGGGCAAGTTTATTAAAATGTCATTCCCAGATTAACTATCCTGATTTAAAAAAAAATCAGTCCAGAGGCCAGCCCAGTGGAGTAGTAGTAGTTAAGTTCCTTCACTCCGCTTTGACGGCCTGGGGTTTGTGGGTTCGCATCCCAGGCATGGACCTAGCACCACTCATCAAGCCATGCTGTGGTAATATCCCACATAAAACAAAGGAAGATTGCCATAGATGTTAGCTCAGTGATAATCTTCCTCAAGCAAAGAAAGAGGAAGATTGGCAACAGATGTTAGCTCAGGGCCAATCTTCCTAACAACAACACAAAATAATAATAATAATAATCAGTCCAATACTCATTTCTCCACGAACTATGGGTATGGGCTTTATGAAACGTTCAATTTCTTGATAACTAGTCAAAGAAACAAGTGTTATACACTATGATTTGGAGCAGACACTTAACACGTTTTAGTCTGTTTCCTTACCTGAACAGAAAATATCAATGAAACCTAATTCCAGGATGAGTTGAGGCATACATTTTTTAATGAGATTATATACTATAAATTAAATTATCAACTATAAACCAATATACAGGCATTGAGGATTAACTAAGTTATTAATTCTTTTAAATGTGCTTAATAAATAATTTTCCTCAATACAAAAATGCTAAAGAAAAAGTAGGAGCTGCAACAAGTGAATACATGGAAGGACTTTTTAAAAATCTCATCTAAATTGCTTGCTTATCTAGTTATTCTAGATATCTGTAACCTACATCAAGCTATAGATGCAAATTCTTTCTCCCATTGTCAAGAAATTATCATCAACAAATATGAACGACTGTCACTTTTTATACCAGACCACTGAGAAAATGATTCCACATTAGACTTGTTCTGACAAAATAAATCTATAGGATTGAGAAAAGTTGTTGAATATCTCTTCAAAAAGTCAAAGTGCTAACTAATAAAATAATAGAGTTAGAACCAACAAGAACATCTAAATGGTCGTCTCTTTGTTTGCACCTTGTTAGGAGAAAAATGTTGAGGAAACTCATGATACGCTAACATTTTGGTCCTGGACAGAAGCAGAGATGCTCTAAGTTTCCTAAAAAGAAAAGGACTTTCCACAAAATTATATGTATTTTATGCCATAGATATTGCAATGTTTCGTCATTAATTTGTAGATAT